ACCAAAACTGTGCATCAAGGCCACCAGTGAGCTCCTGCTGCTAAATCCATGCCAATTCTCAATCCTTATCCTATCTGACCTAGATGCATTTGAAAAAGTAAATTAGAATCTTTAATTAAGCCTCAGTGTCTCCTTCTAAAACACAGGGATGATAATAATAGTACCTATTTTAAGGTTGGTTATGAAGATTTAAAAAGAAATAAACCACATAAAAGCACAATACCTGGTTCACAGTAAAGAACTCACCAAATGTCAGTTATTAGCATGTTTAATCAGCCCTGCTACCTACATTCTACTCAGTCTAAAAATAGAGTCCATCCCATACTCCAGAAACAGAATTTAAGAAAATAACATAACTCCAGAATTTTAAGAAAATGACTATAATCTCAATCTGCAATAGTATTAGGCAAATAACCTATTCCATCATATAAAGAATGACCTTAAAATTTCTTTGTCATTAGTTGTGATGATGCTGAAATAACTACATTAACCCCAATCTCTCTCAGAGTATGGCTCTCATTTCTAACTCTTATTTGACAGCTTGATTTAGATATTATCTGCTCCAATTTTTCTTTCATTCTCTATATCTCATTAATCACCAAATCCAGTCCATTCTTCCTCAGTAATGACTCTCACACCATCTACAAAATCATAAGCCTAAGAGAGCAGGGAACATGTCTGTTTCTGCATCCACCATATGTAGGACAGCAACAGGCACAGTACTATACATATAATAGATGCCAGCATCCTACAAAGCAATCTCATTTCAATAAACATTTACAGAAGGGAAAATGAGCTATAGAGAAATAAACTTGTAGATCACTCAATCAGTAGTGGAACTGATACAGAAACTTGCTCCCCAACCTTCTAATCACAGGAAAATAACTAAGCCAGAGCATGGGTGAAATACCTGCAATGCATGAATGATAGTTTATTCTCTACCAGTACTTGACTTTGACCTTAATTGATCTTTTTCACTGCAAATTGGGATGAAAAATACTGCCAGTTACTTAATCTCTGAGTACCCAAAGAAACATAAGACAACAACTTTAATTCCAAGTCAGTAAGAATTTACTCTTTGCTGAAATTCTATGGAATAGCCCTAAATTGATCAAAAAAAAAAAATCAATCTTCCTGTCTATATGTATACAGAAACACACTATACCATTCTTCTTGGTTCTTGATGAAATGACATTAAAAGGCCTATTAGAGTTTTAGTGCACCTATACAGAAGAAGTAAAATGATTAATTTCAGGTTTGTGTGTCCTATTCTTATTGCTACCTCTTCCAAAAGATGTAACTTTGAAAGACCTACCACTTGGAATTGGTACTATATAGGCATTATAAAGAACGGCATGGAGAGTCCTCAAAAAATTAAACAGAACTAACTTATGATCCAGCAAGCTCACTTCAGAGCATACATCCAAAGAAAATCCGTATATCAGATCTCTGCACTCTCATGTTCATTTCAGCATTAGTAGTAATAGTCAAGATAGGGAAACAAACTAAACATCCATTGACAGATGAATGGATAAAGAAAATGTGGTGTGCATGTATGTTGCAGGCAGGGTGTGTACCTACCTACACACACACACACACACACACACACACACACACCCCGAGGAATATTATTCATCCTTAAAGAGAAGGAAATTCTACCACTTCCCTGTGACAGGTGAAATAAGCCAGACGCAGAAAGACAAATAGTACATGATCTGACTGTGTTAGTATGTTTGGGTTTTTTTTGTTTTGTTTTGTTTTTTCTTTTTTGCGCTGCTATAAAGAAATACCTGAGGTTGGATCATTTATAAAAAGAGGTTTCCTTAGCTTATGGTTCTGCAGACTGAACAAGCATGATACCAACATCTGCTCAGTTTACGGTGAAAAAAACTAAACAAGATAAAATAAATATTATATTTTCCTGTTGACTTAAATTGTAATTTCAGTGTGGTGCTCACATGGAAAGTTCTTTTTAGTTACCCTTAAAATATCAATACTTCATTAAGCATTTTCAGTTTCTTTATTCTCCCACCACTGCTAAGAATGTTAACAAGTAGGCAATACCAAGATATACAAATGTGTATCAAAATATACCTGTAATATATCCACTGAGTATATATATATAAGTAATATAGCAGAGTGTATACAAATAAGAAGAGATGAATATGAAGAGATCTGGTTTCAAACCCTTCATGGGATCACTTGAGTTTTAAATAAAATAATGCTTATAACATATACAGTGAGTGATTAATGATTATTAGCTACCATCCTTTCTGTAAAAATAATCACCAACTGCTTATGACATGGACATTTAAAAAGCCCCATCCTCTCTGTCATAGTTATTAAAATGTTTCAGGAAACTAAAGAATTAGTAGAATCTGCAAGGAGAAAAAAAATGACTTGTGTTTTATGACTAAGGCTATCATTTTTAATTGTTATTCTTGATATTTCTCTAAAAGAATGTTATATTCCTTTATTTCAGAGATGACCATTAATTTTAATTATTTTTTACATGCCAGTTACTGTCTTAAATTTTTTTATTCAATTCCATGAAGTAGAGATCCCCATTTTACAGATAGTGAGACTAATGTTTAGAGAGGTTAAATCACTTGCTCAAGGTCATAAAGCAAGTAGATTTCAGAAGCAAAATTGACAATCTTATCAACTCAAGTCAAATGCCGTTTCACTAAACCAAGAATATCCAATGACTATATCTACCATTCACTATCACTAGGTGAAAACCTTATTATATTTGTTTTACACAACCTGGAAAAAAAGTTTATGAAACAAGAAAAATATTATACAACTGTAAACTTCCATAACCTTTAAGTCTAAATTTGCAATCTGAATATTTATTTTATCAGCCCTTGCATACATTCTGTGCCATGAAGCAGCATAAGAGTTAGTTCATTAACATTTGCTTTACTTTGTTAATTGATGAAGGATCCACTGTTTTTGCTTACAAAAAAAATTTATTCATAAAGTTTTAAACTATTAATCCCACGCTATTACTCAATGTATTATACTTCCTTCTCTAATAGAACCTCGTAGAGTTATTTAGGTGTTTTCTTATTGTTGTTAATGATATACATAGGAATGAAAATCTTTTTTCCAGACAATATGCAATCTGAGATTTGCTTTTATTCAGGGTTTCTGATACACGAAATAGAAAACACACACACATACACACACACACACACACACACACACACACACACACACAATGGCTATGCACAAAGAAAAGTTTTTTAAAAATTTAGTACAGAGAAAGGAGAATCAGTGAAATACATTCTGGTCCATTCATCTTTCACTTTCATTTAGAAAAAGGATTTAAAAACAAGTAGAATAAGAAGTTAGATCTATGTTATGAATAGTTAAGAAAGGACAAAGAAAAGAAAAAACTGGACTAGTGTTATTCTAGTAATGTTTTGAGACTAGCAGTCATCAATGGGAAAATGTCATCTACAATGTTTTATTCAGTTTGAGCCATCAATATTTGTTATTATCTGTGGATAATGCTGTTTGAAATGCATCATGGTACTCTAACAATTCAGAACATATATTCCTATATTTAAAGGTATTGTCGGCTTTTAGCTTTAAACTAGAAGTATATTTTAGAATTAATGACTTTCAGTAAAAAACAAGGTATTTCATTATACATACATACAGGAAAATTTCAAGTTCTAGTAGATTAAAATGCCATTCTTTCAGTATTTATCTTGGAACTTCCAGGGTAACATTGATATGACTCTTAAAACACTGCCTTTTGAGGAATGTGGGTTACCTTAGTATAAAACACCTGAAGGTGGTTATATCGGAGGAAAAATACATCGATGCATTGTTGTTGACCTTAAAAAAGAATCCTCATCTACTATTTTCACACTGAAAAATCACAAAATTGTCTGTAATTCAATGGAAAAAATCCAAAGGAATAAATTAACTACTTCTCATAGTTCTTAAAATGTTTTTAGAAAATTTCAACAGATGATTACAGCTACTGACCAAAGGAAAACTTATTTTTTATGGTGCAATACTCTGGCCATGGTTCCACTTCACAATAAAGTGGACAGAAAGCCAGAAAGACCTAAATTCACATCCTGATTTAACATGATTAGGATCTCCCAGGTTTCAGTTTCCTCACTTGTGAAACTAATGGAGTTAACTCATTTACTGTTGGTTAAATGCCAACTATGTGCCAAACCCTGTGTTAGCAATGGAAGTTTATTACTTAATTTTTGTTTTAAGTAAATAAAACCATGGTCCTTGTCGGTGCAAATCTTGTGAAGAGACAAATAAATGCAACATGATAACCACTATGAACAAACTACTATGTCTGAGCAAATCAAAAAAGACTGCAGAGGGGATTGTCAGTTGAGACTTGAACGAATATGAGTTGCTAAGAAATGGGGATTACAGATATTTCTTGAAGAAAGAAGACACTGCACAGACACGATGACAAAGGCAAAAAGTGAGAGGTTTACTGTAAAGGATGCACAGGCTGGGATTAGAGAAAACTGGTGGGAGAGGCCACACTGAGGAATCTGACCTTTAAGCAGTAAGCCACTTAAACATTATCGGTAAGGTTCCTCATACACCAAAACTCTGGAAATTGGCTGTAGGCCCAACCAGGTAAATTCAATTTCTCCACCACTTCATTTGAGGTTGTTAAGAGTCTCTTCAAGCAAAAAAGCAAAACTATTCAAATTTTGATGCTGCCATTATGAAACCTAAAAGACCTCTCTTAACTGATAAGTTTTAGGACCAGCAATAGAATTCTATTGTTATTAGAGTCATAAAGCATTCTAAAAGCACAAGATATGTAACAATTACTTCTGTACTTTATCAAACACAAAACTGTAAACCTATAAATGTGAATATTAAAAACAGATATTGAATTTACATGTTCCCAAAAATGTTTTTTCATACTTTGTTCAAAGCAAGCTTCATTGTGAACATCAACTAACTAGAAGCACCTAAAGAAAATATAAAGCCCTATTTACCTGTGTTCTGCAGGAACAGGAGGTGGCCACACAGCAGGATCTTTAAATGGTTCATCTTGACAGGACACAGGGAAATCTGGAGGCTTGTCGATTTTAAAACTTTCTAAAGTGCTGACAATACTTTTAACTTGTTCATATTCTTCCAATAATTCCTGCCGAACCTTAAAAAAAAACAGGCTTTATGCTAGAAACTGTTTTAAACACTTCATAAATTGTAAATAATAAATTGCTATAGAGTGCATGTTTTCTTAAGGTCAAAGTATGAAAAATGAATCATTAAAACATTCAAAAACACAAAGAACTATTTCAAGTAATACAGAAAGAAGGGCAGAAATTGGTTTGAAAAAACATAATTCTATACCTTTTAATAAGGAAAGTAGTTACATATCTTTTATAATGGAATTCCATTTCTACAAAAGAATGTGATGATCATTAATACAATTGAAAACAAGCAACTAAGTAGGTGACAAGTTAACCATTCCCAGAAATGTAAAATATTGTGCTAAATATTTTTAATATATTTGTAAATAGATTTGAAAAAATTGTAAGCCAAAATTTTCAACACCACTTCCTATTCCCAGTATCACTAAATATAAAATGCCTGTCATGAGTGTCTGAAAGTTAGAAGTGATATAATACTATGAATTACAAACTTCCTGGTTTGTTTTGTATTCTTTTGAGACAGAGTCTCACTCTATTGCCAGGCTGGGGTGCAGCGGCACAATCTCAGGCCACTACAACCTCTGCCTTCCGGGTTCAAGTGGTTCTCCTGCCTCAGCCTCCCAAGTAGCTGAGATTATAGGTGCATAACACCATGCCCAGCTAATTTTCATATTTTTTTTTAGTAGAGACAGGGTTTCACCATATTGGCCAGGATGGTCTCGATCTCCATACCTTGTGATCTGCCTGCCTTGGCCTCCCAAAGTGGTGGGATTACAGGTATGAGCCACTGCACCCCAGTTTTTATTTAAATTCTCCTTCATCTGAAACCTGAATCATTTTGGCCTTATTTATTTCAAGTTCTGAATAAAGTTTATTTTTATATCAAAGACAAAGTTTTTCCTGTATTTAAAAAACTTAACTGAGCACACATTAGGAGGAAATTCTTGTGTTTTCAAACTTTGAGCCCAAACTAATTTTCAAAAGCAAGCAGATAAATATTAAAAATTACATTCAAGACCAGTCTGGGGAAACAAAAATATTAGGCCAGGCATAACAACAAATGGCTATAGTTCTAGCTACTCAGGAGGCTGAGGCAGGAAAATCACTTGAGCCTGGAAGTTTGAAGCTATAGTGAGCTATGATCACGCTACTGCACTCCAGCCTGGGCAAGAGAGCAAGACTCCATATCGAAACAAAAAAAGAAAATTCCACTTACAAAATCTTTTTAACAATTGTTTTTTTTTTTTAACCAGAAACCACATTTTACTGTAAAGCAGAGTGTAAGAAAGTTTCTCCTATCATTATATTGAATCATATAGTAAAAGGAACATATGAAAGAGTTACAGATCCGAAGAAAAAGCTAGGTAAAATTCAATTGCTAATATATACACTTACACTATACTGGGATATGCTATCCTGGAAGAACTGTAATTTCAGAACCCAATGGAAAGAAGCATAGTAGAAATATCTGAGTAGAAATGGTCACTATTTAACATAAACAATTAGGAACATATCAAATATATTTCCATAACAGATTAATGAAACACCCTGCCTGTGGCTAATGGGAAGGATAGAAGAAAACAACTAAAATTTTCAGCCTGAGTTAGAGTAAGTATATTGTTCTCAATGAACATAATTTGGTAACATTTAATTAGGAAAATAAGCCAAATTTACCCTCAAAACTTAGGAAAACATCAATTTCTGACTAATGGAAAAATTAGACGAAACACTTGAAAGGCATTAGTACATGAAATGGAAACATCAAAGAAACACTTGACTTTGTATTTTTAAGTTTTAAAAGATTTTAATTTTAAAAGTGGGGAGTGTTTGCATTGGCAGCACATATACTGAAACTGGAATAACAGAGAAGATCAGCACTCCTGAAGTGTTATGTATTTTTTTACTTAATGTTTTCTAAAAAGGCTGTTAACGTTATTTTAGTATAACAGGTGAAAAATACAAGCTTAAATAATAGGTCCTTATAAAAACAAAAGGCAGTTTTGTTAACTAAACATCACTGAAGATAGACAGATCATTTATTTCCTTAAATAAAGATATGTTGCTTATAAGTATGATGTGCAAAAATTCTTTTTTAAAAGTTACAATTAATTTGGAACCAGAGCAGCAAAGAACTATGCTAAAAATACTGATCAGTTAAAACACTAAATTTAAATTAAACTTAAAGAACAGTAAGTGGTGAAATTAAAATTCAAGTTTTTATTAACTATCTTATTAAATAAGCAAATTATATAGTCAAAAGACAGCAAATACAGTAATGTTTTTATTAGATTATGGACTCATTTGCATTTTTAAGGAGTCTTTCAGAAGAGGAGTTTTGTAAAATGGGTCAAAACAACATGTAAAAATGAAAGGGAGAAGCGCCAGTATGAATCCTTTATTTCAGGTTCAGCACAGTGGTTCACATATGTAATACCAGTGCTTTAAGAGGCCAAGGCAGGAGGACCACTTGAGGCCCAGAGTTTGAGACCACCCTGGGCAACACAGCAAGAGCCAGTCCTGACAAAAAAAAACTTAAAAGTTAGCTGGGCATGGTGGTGTGCACCTGCAGCCCTATCTACTTAGGAAGCTGTGGTGGGAGGATCACTTGAGCCCAGGACTTTGAGGCTGCAGTGAACTGTAATGGCACCAATGTACTCCAGCCTGGGTGACAGAGCAAAACCCTGTCTCTTTAAAAAAAAAAAAAAAAAAAAAAAAAGAAAGAAAGAATAGCTGGGCATGGTGGCTCATGCATGTAATTCCAGCACTTTGGGAGGCTGAGGCGGGCGGATCACAAGGTCAAGAGTTCGAGACCAGCCTGGGCAACACAGTGAAACCCCATCACTACTAAAATACAAAAAATTAGCGGGGTGTGGTAGCAGATGTCTGTAATCCTCGCTAATCAGGGGACTGAGGTGGGAGAATCATTTGAACCCGGGAGGCAGAGGTTGCAGTGAGCCAAGATTGTGCCACTGTACTCGAACCTGAGCAACAGAGCAAGACTCCATCTCTAAAAAAACAAAAGAATGAATGAAATACTTTATTTCAAATGTCTGTAGTCACACAATTAGGTAACTAATTACGGAAAGAGAAAAAAGTAAAAGTAGATTCAATTAGAATTAAATATCTTCAAAATATACCTCATGGAATATATGACCACAAAAACAAAACATTAGGTAAGATACTAGAAAATTATTCAAGAATATATTTTAAATATATTTCAGTATTCAGATTAATAGAAAATATTTCCATCTCAAACTCATTTTCCAACTCTAATCTCTCAAGTATAATAGGGTACTGCTTTCCTAACACATCTAATACTTTAATATCATCTTACCTGTTGCCATTTGCCTTTGATAGCTGGATCTCTTACTGACTGGCAATGTCTCTGAATCTGTTGTATCACCCCCTGGTAATACACCATTGATGAGTCGTAATTTCCAAGAAGGGCATATTCTCTTCCTTTCTTTGCATTATCACATATCTCAGCCAAATTCATCTTCTTTCAGAGACCTAAACATAAAATATAATGACTTTTTAAAAATTTTCAGCACTGACTTTAAAACATTTATTATTCTTTAAAATGTTTAAAACTACTTTTTTTTGGAGATAGAGTCTCACTTTGTTGCCCAGGCTGGAGTGCGGTTGATTCCAGTCAACTGTGAGTTGACTCACTGCAACCTCTACCTCCCAGGTTCAAGTGATTCTTGAGTAGCTGGGACTACAGGGATGTACCATCATGTCGCTATTTTTTTGTATTTTTAGTAGAGACAGGGGTTTCACTGTGTTGGCCAGGCTGGTCTCGAACTCCTGACCTTGGGCAGTCCACCTACCTCAGCCTCCCAAAGTGCTGGGATTACAGGTGTGAGCCACCTTGCCCAGTGTGGAACTACTTTGAAAGTCAAGAGTTAACTTTCATTCTTTGAGGCTATCTGAATGCATCTTATAATACTAAACAAAATTTTCAAATTTGTAAGTATAAAGGAGATTACAAAAGAACACCCATGGAAATAATAGGAAGAGACATTACATAGCTCTGGACTACTGATTTACTTAAAGGCACATAAAATTGGACCCTAGTTTTCCTTATTCCTTTATAATTACCATAGACTGCAATAATATATGAACTTGTTTTATTCAATTTATTCTTGCCAACATAAAAATATATATATATACATATATATATATATATATATATATATATATATCTCACATAAATATAGGAATGTTATATTTTCCACTGAAGTCAGTTGAAACTATAAAAATTAGTTCTCACTAAAATTTCTTGGCCCAAGAAAAAAAGTTATACTTAAAGAACACATTTTAAAGGAACAGTCTATAGTTGTCCATATACCATTTATACTCATGTAATTGCCTCATAAACTTAAATCTAAGCAAACACCTATAAATTAAACTACATGAACCCCAACTTGTAATCTTCTAAGACTCCGTCATTCTCTATAACTCTTTGGCCATGCAAATAACTACCATTATTTTCCTTTCTATAAGATGTTAATTAGAACACCCTCTAAATATCTGGCTTCCACCAAAGCTCCAGTCCAGTAATTCTGGCTTTTCTTCCAGGCTTTCCAAAGGTCTCCTAGAAACATCCAAGGCTTCTATGCAAAGACACTTTCTTTCCAAGACTAAAAGAATTGGAAGTCCAGAGATACAGGAGAATGGTATCCCAAGAAAGAGTCCAAGTTACCTTCTTATTTCTAGGAACAGTAAACCAATGAATACATATAGAGGAGAAAAACAAAATACTTCTCTACGCCTTGCTCAGGGAATTAAACTTTGGTTTGGGGAGCCTGACTTTTCCTCTCTGACTCTCAATCTCTTATCTATTCTTCAAGGGCTCAAAAATTCTTCCTGGAAATTAACCATAACTAGTTCTAGGCATTTCAATGGACTGCAACGCATTTTTGAAAATAAATGTTTCTTTATGTTTTTGACATGTTATCTGCCCCTTACAGGTTCCCTGAAGGCAGAGTTATATTACTTGAGAATAACACTGCAGCAAATAGTACACTACTGATGTGGTTTGGCTCTGTGTTCCCACTCAAATCTTACCTTGAATTGTAATAATTCCCACGTGTCAAGGACAGGACCAGGTGGTGATAAATGGATCATGAGGACTGTTTCCTCCATGCTGTTCTTGTGATAATGAGTAAGTCTCATAAGATCTTATGGTTTTATAAGCGTCTAGTATTCCCCCTGCTGGCATGCATTCTCTATCCTGCTGCCCTGTGAAGAGGCGCTTCCACCATGATTGTAAGTTTCCTGAGGCCTCCCCAGCCATGCAGAACTGTGATTCCATTAAACCTCTTTTCTTTATAAATTACCCAGTCTCAGGTTTTTCATTATAGCAGTGTGAGAAAGGACTAATACAGATTAGTACCAGGAGTGGGGCGCTGCTAGAAGGATACCTGAAAATGTGTAAGTGACTTTGTAAGTGAGTGACAGGCAGAGGTTGGAACAGTTTGGAGGGCTCAGAGGAACACAGAAAACTGTCGGAAAGTTGGAACTTCCTAGGGACTTGTTGAATGGCTTTGATCAAAATGGTAATAGTGATACGGACAATACAAGCTGAGGTGGACTTAGATAAAGATGAAGAACTTGTTGGGAACTTGAATAAACATGACCCTTGCTATGCTTTGGCAAAGAAACTGGCAGCATTTTGTCCCTGCTCTAGAGATCTGTGGAACTTTGAACTTGAGAGAGATGATTTATGGTATCTGGCAGAAGAAATTTCTAAGCAGCAAAGCCTTCAAGAAGTGATTTGGGGGTGCTCTTAAAAGCACTCAGTTTTATGCATTCACAGAGATACAGTTTAGAATTGGAATTTATATTTAAAAGGGAAGCAGCACATAAAGGTTTAGAAAATGTGTAGCCTGACAATGAAATAGAAAAGAAAAATCCATTTTCTGGGAAGAAATTCAAGCCAGCCACAGAATTTACATAAGTGACAAAGAATCAAAAGCTTATCACCAAGACAATGGGGAAAATGCCTCTAGGACTTGTCAGGGATGTTTGGCAGCCCCTCCCATCACAAGCCCAGAGGCCTAGGAGAGAAAAATGGGTTTCCTGGGCTGGGTCCAGGGCCCCCCCTGCTGTATGCAGCCTTGGGACTTGGTGCCCTGCACCCAGCCGCTCCAGCTATGGCTAAAAGGGGCCAAGGTACTGCTCAGGCCATGGCTTCAGATGATCCAAGCCCAAAGCCTTGGCAGCCTCCACATGGTGTTGGGCCTGCAGGTGCACAGAAGATGAGGATTGAGGTTTGGGAACCACCACCAAGATTTCAGAGGATGCATGGAAATGCCTGGATGTACAGGTAAAAGTCTGCTGCAGGGAAAGGACCTGCTGGGGAAGTAGGGAAGGGAAATGTGTGGTTGGAGCTCCCACTAAGTCCTGTGAGAAGACAGCCAACATCCTCCAGACCCCGGAATGGTATATTCACTGACGGCTTGCACCATGCATCTGGAAAAGCCATAGGCACTCAAGGCCAGCTGTGAAAGCAGCCAGAAGGTGGGGATGTACCCAGCAAAGCCACAGGGGTAGACCTGCCCAAGGCCATGGAAACCTACCTCTTATATCAGTGTGACCTGGATGTCAGACATGGAGTCAAAGGAAATCATTTTGGAACCTTAAGACTTTATGATTGCCCTATTGGACTTCATACTTGGGTACTATAGCCCCTTTCTTTTAGCCAATTTCTCCCATTGGAAACAGGTATATTTGCCCAGTGCCTGTACTTCCATTATATGTAGAAAGTAACCCACATACTTTTGATTTTACAGGCTCATAGGTGGAAGAAACTTGCCTTGTCTCAGATCAGACTTTGGACTTGGACTTTTGAGTTAATGCTGGAATTAGTTAAGACTTTGGGGGACTGCTGGAAAGGCACAATTGTGTTTTTTAATGTTGAGGACATGAGATTTGGGAAGGGCCAGGGGAAGAATGGTATGGTTTGTCTCTGTGTCCCCACCCAAATCTCACCTTGAATTGTAATAATCACATGTCAAGGGCAGGAGCAGGTAGAGGTGACTGAATCATGGAAGTGGTTCCCCCATGCTGTTCTCATGATAATGAGTGAGTCTCATGAAATCTGATGGTTCTGTAAGCATCCAGCATTTCCCCTGTTGGCATCCATGTTCTCTCTTGCCGCCCTGTGAAGAGGTGCCTTCTGCCATAATTATAAGTTTCCTGAGGCCTCCCCAACCATGCAGAACTATGAGTCACTTAAACCTCCTTTCTTTATAAATTACCCAGTCTCCATTATTTCTTCACAGAAGCATGAGAATGGACCAATACAACTACATTTACCCAGTAACAAATTTCAATGTCCAGTGGATCTATCCACAGAATACAGGACAACCATGAAAAGTCTCATCTTCAAATTTAGAACATTAACACAAAACAATATGGTCTTATTATAATGAGTAATATGTAATTAATAAATCCAGTAGAAACAAAGATGCTCTATAAATTATTTCCCTTTAAAGTCATTGTGAAACAAAAACTTAATCCTGCTCACAAGTATAGACACAAAACCATGAAAGATAAAAATATCTTGATATAAAGGAAAAGGTGGCAAACTTGTCCTGTACAAGTAAATATTTTAGGCTTTGAGGATTAACAAATGAAGGATATTACATAGCTACTTATATAATGAGACAAAAAATGTCCGTAATTCTTATTGATGCAATTCAAAATATTATAGAAACAATAATGGAATACAACTTTTTGTAAGACAAGTTGACTAAGAAGAATGAATTTTGGAGACAATATTTCACTCAGTTGGGATTCAAAGTTAGTGCTCCCTATCACCAAAACCAATCACAAATGTTCATATACTCTAATGTTTTACCTTGAATACAACAAATTTCATGTTTAAAAATGTATTTTTTCAAAAGTACCAGTTAGGTGCTACTGTAAACTGATAGTAAACCACAAGTATATGATTTCAATTCAGCATAATCATTGTTTAGAAGTGATTAGTTTTTGATTCCTTGTTACTTATGCAAATTTCTGTGACTAGCTTAAATTTCTCCCCATAATGATTCATTATAATAAGACCATATTGTTTTGTGTTAACATTCTAAATTTGAAGATGAGATTTTACATGGTTTTCCTGTATTCTGTGGATACAGGATAGATCTAATGCACATTGAAATTTGTTACTGTGTAACAGTAGTCATATAGTATTTACTCTTCTCTTAGTATTTACCTTTTAGCATGTAATTAACTGCAAATTAATCATTCCAATTAAAGGTTAGGTAAAAAGTGCCTCAACGGTACAGTTAAATGGAAATTTCCTTTGCACTTGCATCATGTTCTAAGAAGTGTTGCTGAAACTGTAGTTTGAACTCAGAAAACATACCTATTGCAATACTGGGTAGGAATACAGACCTTACTTCTTTGTTTTATTATGACACCATAGAAAGCTATATAAAATGACTTGATATTACTTGTGATTCAAAGAACAGTAGTTGTCATTGAAACAACTTTAA